CTGTAGGGTGTCTGCTCTGCCTGTCCATCCAGGGTAGTTTGTCCCCAAAGCGGCTGCCATCTCCCTGGTTTCTTCTCTGTATACTTGCCACTCCCTCATGGAGAGAGATTCCTCTGCCCACTTGAACCTGGGCTGGCCTGTGACCAATTTGACCAACAGCCTATGGCGGAAGTGACACTGCCAATTCTGGGCCTACTCTTTAAGAGAAGACAGTTTGCTATCCCTTTGAGCCCTGAACTGTCACTAATAAATACAGGCAAATAAGCCATGTGGAGGAGGCCGAGGCACCAGCAGGTGAGTGAAGAAGCTCCATTAGCCAGCCAGCCCAGTTGAGCCTTGAGGTGACTCCAATCCCAGCTAGTCCTAGTTGTTTTCTGACTGTCACTACTCAAGAAATCCAAGGCAGGACCACCCCGTCAAGTACAATCAGCCTACAGAACCATGATACAGCGATAGTAGTTTTAAGCCACTGAGTTTTGGAGTGATTTGCTGTACCGCAGTAAACACCCTAAATACCACCCTCCAAGGTCCCAAATGTAGACTTTTGGCAAAGCTTTTCTGTGCAAGTCTAGTTGACGATAGTCCTTCCCTCCTCTAATTCCCACAGAACCTCTCAGTACCACACATTTTGTTATCCAACCGTACATATTATTTTCTGCACTCTGTTCTGGACTCCATGACCTGAAGATACCAAGCAATGGAAATATGTCTTTTGAGATCCCTTCAACAAGTACCAGTACTGGACAAAATATAATTAATAAGCTCTTGAATTGAGTTTTAAAGCATTCTTTGAGCTTTCTGCCAGCTCTTTTTAGCTGTGACTCCCCTTCATGGTATCTTGGAGCATTCTTTCAAGTCATGGTTGTGAAAGTATGTCTGGTTGCAGGCAGCCCTTAAGATCCACCCAAAGACAGTATGCGACAGAGCAGTGGTTCTCCAAGTCTGGTCCTGGGTCAGCAGCATCAGCGTCAGCTGGGAACCAGTTAGAGATGCCGATTCTAAGGTCTGCCCTAGACCTGTGAACTTCGAGGTTCTGGGAGTCGGGCCCAGCATTCAGTGTTTGAACAAGTCTTCCAGATAATTGTGATGCATGCTGAAGCATGAACGTCATTCTTGTAAGAGAAAAGACTTCCAGGTTTAGGATAGAAGGTCTAGGATCTTTTCATTAAACAACATTTATTGGCTGTGCATTTGCTTCTGCGGGTGTCGTGTTAGAGGCAGGGGATGCTAAGAGGGCTATAGGCTGGTCTCTGCCCTCGTGTGGTGAGGGAGGGCGAGGTGGCTGCTCTGTTTGTCTGTATAAATGAGACATGCCCCCAAATGATCTGTAGAAAACCTGCATACTGAATGAAACAGTCCAATTTTTCTTACCTTCGCTTTTCTATTTAAGGATCAGATGCCATTATCATGAACTTAAATAAGCTTTAGGAACCCTTTTATCAGGATATGTTTTATTAAAGATTACTCCATTAGTAAGTAGCCTGTTAAAATAGTATTCACACTCACTATGGAACAGAAAATCTAGATGAGTAGAAAGAAAATTAAAATAATTCATAATCCTACCACCAATGGCTAATATCATTTCAGTGCATTTTCCTCCCAGCTTATTAATGCCTGGGTCTTTTTTCCTTTTTCTATATCTGCCTCATGCTCTTAGTAACATATTATGGGCACTCTAGGTCACTTGTTTCTGAAGCTTCAGCATCTTTTGGTGAAGTGGCCATAGTGTAGCCATGACGGTGTTTACCGTGGGTGCAGCTGAGCAGTCGTGGAGACAGTCACCGGTTCCCCTTCTCGCTGCTGTCCCTGTCCTGCTTTCTGATGGTTGGTTCTCTTTTCTAATCAGCCCCATAGACTCCTCCCTGTCTTCTCTCCACCTGTCCTACTTTTCCTCCTCCCGCTTTGGCTTTGTTGTCCACCCCTGGCTGGCGTGAGCTTTCCACCCCTTCTTCCCTTGATTTCTCCTCATCCTTCCTACACGAGGGCTGAGAGCGGCCCTTCCTTGCACATTCTCCGATTTGGCAAAGCTCTCTCCGTACCCCCGTTGTTGGGTTCTTGTGTGAGGGTTACACATTAAGGGTGTGGGCCTGAGACTATTCTTATTTTTCTCCTCATGCCCTAGGACAAGTGAAAAGACTTCTTGTAATTCATTTGCAAAATGAATACATAAAACCCCAAGGCCTGTTGGTCACCAGGAACTGCTGTGCATAAGTGCAAGACCCACTGGCAAGCCCCTAGGCTATACTATGCAGGCTTCTGACCTTGATACACAGGCACTGGGATTCCTTCGAGGAAGCCTCTGAGAAAGCCCAAATCCAAAGCGCAGGGAAGTATTGAAACAATACAGCCAAAACCCAGAAGGAGCTACTTTCAGGTCGGATGGGAAATGGGCAGCATAGGAGAATGGAGGACGTGGGAATGCTGTCGGTGGTGGCCCCAGGGCCCATGACGGGAGGGAGTATGTGTTCTCTGAGACAAGATTACAACCACTGCATCTTTGTAGAGAAGACCAGAATCGCTGTGAGACAGCCTGTGAGGTAGACTGAAGTAAGAGAGTAGGGGTGCTTCCCTTTTCTTCTTTATCTGAGCGCAGTAGTCAGTTCCGCAGCCATGATTTCCGTCTTGGACAGTGAGCCATTCAGAAGGAAGAGGTGGCGGTGGCTGGGAGGCCGAGGAAGGAAGGGGGAGCAGCATCTGCTGAAACATCCACCGCAGTGGCCTGGGAAGGAGCTTCCTGGTGAGCAAAAGAATGCAAGCCAATGGAGCTGATTTCTGTTGTGATGACAGATGAGCTTCCTGCCCGTCCTGAGAGCAGCCCGCCAGGGCAGGTGGAGAGGCAGGGCCAGATCTTTGTGTGGACAGAGGCAACGCTACTGCCCGGCTGCCAGCCTGTCTCTCCTTCGAGACCAGCATGGCTGAGTTCAGCTGGAAGGCTGGGGAGACAGCACTTCTTGTTTGTTTCTGGGTCACATGTCAAATTAGTGGAGGATTATTTTAAGCTAAAAACAGTTATGCTCAAAAAGAGTTCAGAGTTTAGTTCTCTTCTGTGGTTTTGACTTGCTCTGCAGTCATTGCGGCTTTGATGTTCTTAGACATACTTGGTTTTCCATTTTGGTCTTGAAACAATTAGGAGACACCTGACTGCTAATCTTTACTAGGGGGTGAAATTTCTGGCATCTTATAAACAGTTTCATACAGAGATGACATGCAGCTTGAACTTGTCAGGATCGTCAGCAGGCACTAAACAGGGTTGTTCTTTGCCCCCTCCCTTATGCTCCATGATCCACCCATGGTCGGCATGACCTTCACCTTCTATCCTGGACCAACTCCCTTTCATCCTTCGTGATCCACTGCAGTGGTCAACCCGGAATACGTTCCCTGACCTTTGCAGACTCTTAACCTCTGATTCTCCACAGCACCCCATGTTACTGGACTTATTTCACGTTGAGTGTTACACATTTAGGGAGCTGGACACAGCGTCTGCGTGTCGTGCACATGCTATAGCCTGTGGCCCAAACAAATCGCTGCTCCTAACCTCCAAATCCATTTTTGTGGCTCTGGAAGGCAACCCTTACCCTTCCGCTCCACTTGGCTCTTGCAATAGGACTAAATGGGCCACCTTCGTTTCTACTCAGGCAGCATTTGATGAGATTCGTCCGTGATGACAGGCAGCTCTCATCCCCGACTGGGCCAGCCTCCCTGGCAGGGCTGCACTTGCTCACCTTGATAGGTGGCAGGACAATTACTGGGCGCCTTTCCGACCTGCTTCAAAGCTTCTTGTAACCTGGCAGTGAATGAAATGCACAGCCTTCCAACTCAGTGACATTTAAGGCAACCACTCATCGGTCCAGGCAGCACAGTAAATCGGTGCTCAGCCTCTCCCAGCCTCTTTTTCTGGTCAGACTACAAATAAAAGAAAGGAGTGTGCCACCGCGCGCCTGACGCCGCCTGCCCCCCCCAGCAGTCACGCCCTCGCCCTTGCTCTCCGGCTTTGTTCCGGTCCCCGGAGGAGCAGTGTTCAGGAGAGTGCTTGGGGGTTGCCTAGTGCTGTGTGTCTACATTTGAGTCCCACACACACAAATAAATACAGTAAATGAATATATGTACATTTGAATTGCATATCCACCCCTACTGAATGGGTTATTCATTCACATGGAAATAGTTTGCTCTAAATATAACTCCCCCAGTATTCTTATTTAGTCCCTCTTATTCAAGGGACTAAGGTGCATCACTCAAGGGTGACATGTAAATGACACTGCAGTAACACAGAGTAATGGCTTTGTGAAGTGTGGTATATTGGTGTGCTTATCCAGTCATTTATACATCCAGTAAATACTAGTTGTGATGTCTGAAGAAAACGCAAAAGGCAAGAAATCGTTTCCCCACACAAATGATTGTGAAATACAGCATTTTTAGAAACACTCCCCCCCCCACTCCATGATACCTTCAAATTCCTTCTCTTCTAAGTAGTGTTGCTTCCCGCCCCCTCCCCCAACTCAAATGTTAAAAACAAATAATCTCCCTGCTCTTCCTCCCTTCCACCTCCCAAGGCCTATACAAACAAAAAGGAAAAAAAGAATAAGGAGGCTGTCCAATCAAAAGACCCTTACCCTCTCTCAGACTAAATCTACTTGCATCAGTGTGCTAGCAAATGGTCAGACTCCAAGACTTTTCAAGCAGTTCATTATCAGAGTCCCTGAGTTTTTAAGCAGTACATTCTTTAAGTTTCCGCCAGAGCTAAACCTTTGCCAGGCCCCAGCCCCCTCTCCCAGAGGCTGTTGCCAGGTTGACTTCCCTGTCTCAGTCAAGAGGCCGCTCCCCAGCTCTGTGGAAATTAATAAGGCCAATCAGAAATGCACAAAGCCTGCCCGGCCAATCGTTCTCCTCCGAGCGTTTGCCATCTCCTCTGCGGTCAGATAAATCACTTTAAAGCTATTACACCAATGACCATAAATTAGGGGGCCTGGCGGGCCGTCCTCCCGAGGACAAGGCAGGCTAAGATGATTCCAGCGCGGGGGCGGGGAGGCGGCGCGGTACCTGCGGTTACAGCATCCCCGGGCCTCCCCGAGGACCGGCGTCTGGACTGCGCCCAGCTGCGGCCACGGCGCTTCTCGGAGATGGTGCGATCACCCAGGTGCGGGGGCTCCATCTGCGCCGCTCTGCCAGACTATTTACAGCCAAGGTTCGGCCGGTGATTGCTGGCATGGAAAACTCACTTCTCAGCCCGGAGGTTTATTTACGCTCTTATTAAGGAGCCTTCACTCACGTCGGAATGGCAGCGAGTGGCTGCGGCGGGCATTGGCCCCGGGCCAGGCGGCCGATCTGGGGCGGGGCAGCCGCCTTCGCCGGCGACCTTCCGCCCGGAGCGCGCGGTGGGCGCGGGGACAAAGGCGCCAGAAGCCGGGCCGCGAGAACCTCGGTGCCTCAGCACCCTGGAAAAGTTGGGTGGCTTTGTGGCTGGATTTCCCTTTGCAGGGTTAGCCGGTTCCCCGCCCCCCTTCCTACCACTCTCTTGGCAGACGTGGAACGTGCAGGAGAGTTACGTGCTTTATTAACTCCATCCAAACCCCTCGGTCAAGATTCCGCCCGCCCCCGGCCCCCTTCCACCCGCTCGGGCCTCCCCTGCCGGGGGCCGCCCACGCATCCCGCGGGGTTGGGCTCGCAGGGACTACTCCCGCGAGGGAAACTTCCTGGCCGTTCTTTCCGTTGGCGCCGCCTGAAACCCTGAGGAGGCCGCGCGTGTGCATGTGCGCCTGCAGATCCTGAAGACCCGCCAGCAGCCTGGCACATCTGGGGCTCCCGACCATGCATATTCATGCCGGAGAGCAGGAAAACCCAGGTCAGCTGCCGGGAAACAACGAACTGTGCTCTTCAAGGCTGACCGAGGCCGAGAAGTCAGTAAAATGACGGCCCGACTCTCAGTCCTGTGCAAAGCCTAACACTTGGGGCATTCTTTTTTCTCCCTAAAATAGCAGAGGAAAGGGAGCAGTGTTTTTTGCTTGTTTTTTGGGGGGTTCAGTTTCCAGGAGTTTCCCCTTAGCTATAGAAAGGGTGATTTCTACTCCCTTCCCCAGGGTTCTCAACCTCTGGAAGAATGGCTAATAGCTCTCTCTTCCCTTCTCCTGCACACGGTTCCTCTGATTTTGACGCTTTTTCTTTCTCTTCCCCTAATCCTCCTCCCACATGATAGCATCACTCTTACCCCTTTCTTCCTCTGCCCTCCTGACGCTCATCTCCGTCAGTTCCCTGAGGATGCCTCCTTTCCCCGTTCCTGGTGGTAGGGCGCTGGGAGGCGGACATCAGACTAGGCTGCCCCACGGCCTCCCGCCTCGGCCCTGCAGTCCAGCGAGGGGCACTTTTCTGGGCTGAACTGTGTTCCTCCCAGTCCACTCGTTCAAAGGCCCAGCCCCACACCACCTCCGAATGTGACTGTATTTCCAGACTCCACCTTCAAACAGGTAATTCAGATACAATGAGGTCGATCCGATAGGACTCGCGTCCTTATAGGAGGGCCTTTGGACAGGGATGCATACACATGGGCAAAAGACTGAGGGGACAGCAAGAAGGCCCAGCCAGACCGAGGGGAGAGAGGCCTCAGAATCCAGACCTGCCAACACCTTGATTGTGGACTTGAAACCTCCAGAACTGTGAGAGTAACGTTCTGCTGCTTAAGCCCCCGGGCCTGTGGTGTTTAGTTAGGGCGGCCCTAGCAGGCTGAGATGGGCACGAAGGAGGCCTGTCTGGAACGTTCCTGTGGCCCTCCGTCCTCCTCCAGGACTTGGAAACTGCCCGGGATGGCTTTGGCCTGGCACAGTTTTGTTATGTTCCATGTGATCTTTTTGTTTCTTTTTTTAATAAGAAATTACCAACTAGTGACATTTCTCTGTTGGTAGAGTGTTATTCATGCCCCTACTGGTCTAATTTTCAGTTTTGTCCTGTGTAGGTTTTACAGAAAAATTATAGGACAGTCGTTTGAATTTCAGAGGAACAGCAAATAATTTTTTGATTATGTTCCAAATGTTGCACGGGACATGCTTGTATTTTTAAAAATCTTTTTATCTGAAATTCAGACTTACTTAGATGTCTTATACTTTGTGAAATCGGCCAAAGCTAGTTCTTGTGTGTGTGTCCTTAATGTCTTTACCCAGTGGTTCTCACATTAGAATCACTGGAGAACATTTCAGAAATACTGATGGCTGGGTCCCTCCCTGGAGGGATTCAGATTTAATTGGTTTAAGAGTTTTTTTTAAGCTCCCCGGTGACTTCAGTGTGCAGACAGGTACTAAGATCCCTGCAGGAAGAGATGGGTATTAACTAATTAAATGTTCATGGCTCCCATGTTGTTGGATTTGGGTTCCCTTAAGCTTAAATTCTTTGGGTTTTGTTCTGCTAAAAATGTCATCTTATCACTCTTGACTGCTAAGCCCAGAGGCAGAGGTCAAGTAGATCTTTGAAAAATGCCCTGTTAGTACGGGAAACGGTTTTCTTACTTCAGGTCAGCTGAGCCCATAAAGAGAGAGAGATGCCCAGAGCTGTGATATTGATACCACTGCAGTGACTCTCCACTCTGACACTTCAGATTTTGTAATAAATAGTGCAGCTGGGCACCACGGTAAAAGATTTACCTTTCACTGTTAGTTTTATTACAGGTCTGTGCTCAAGAATGTACAATGTTTTAAGCACACTTCTTGTTCAAGAGGAATTTGAACAGAATCAGACCCTGGGTATCTCTTCTTCAGCTGTTAGTTGTCAAGCATGGACAGCTGAAGCTTACCTGCTGCTCACGTGTTACCGAAAAATTTATAGGAAGTTCAGGTACCGTGGCTGATACCCTTGGGGTAGCACACACCATTTACTCTGCTTGGGTAAGGGCCTTATATTTGGCTCTGGTACTCAATTTCATCCTGAAAGTAAATCTGGCCAATGTAAACCTTCATAATAAGTGCTAAGGAGATGCTGGCATAGAGCTCCAGCTGAATAAGAGTCTAACTGGAGAGGGATATAAGATCCTGTGGCAGAAGTATATTTTATAGAAGATGATATTGGTGGGTGTGATGATACTAATTAGTACAAAGTTCAAAGCTTAAGACTGGAGATCAGTGTGAAAGGGCTTTGTTAAAAATGCTATCTAACATGTATGTAGGCGACGGAGGGACGGAGGTTTTGTAACCGCTGCTTCTCTGATGAGAAGTTCCAGAAAATTGTTGGAGCGGGAGGAAGTTGAGTGTAAAGTTGGATTTTGGATTTGAGATTCTGGGTTTGGTGCTGCTTGGCTCTGGGTCCTTGGGCAACTACGTAGCCTACCTGGACCTTTGGTTCCTCATCTGGAGAAGTGCTTCTAGAATGGTAGAATAATGACCTGAAAATCCATTTCTCCGTATAAGCAAAGAGAATACCGGTAAAAGTTGCCCCCGATCACTTCTTCAGAACTCTGGAGACTCACCAGAGGATCGCAACAATCCAGGGAGCGCTTATTTGGTAACAACAGCGAATCATAATAGGAGCAAGGTGGCGACTCAGCTGAACCAGGGTCTGTGCGCCCTCTCTGCATCTGCGGTAGCCCTGAGCAACAGCAGCCTTGTGACTACAGTATCTCTGAGGCCCAGCGGGCCAGCGGGCTGCGTGTGTAGCTCCCCCAAAATCCCCAGCCCCAGAGGATAGTCACTATTTGAATCTCACTCTCTGGAACGGCCCGCATGCCCAGGGCTTATGTTAGCTTCACCTGTCAGTCAGCAACATCACAGCTATCTAAGGCAGTCATACCCGTTGAGATAACAAGAAGCTGACCAAAATACTGAAAAAGGGAAAAAGCTAGTGAAGATGTCCATAGAGGGCTTTGAAAAGCCATAGCATATTATTGAAGACATGAGAGTTTTTGCACATGTGCAGGGCAGCGTGCAAACCCAGGAAAGACCTAACTGACGTTAAAGCCTACCAGGCCCTTCTGTCCATGAGATTTTCCAGGCAAGAGTACTGGAGTGGGTGGCCATTTCCTTCTCCAGCAGATCTTCTGACTCAGGGATGGAACTGTATCTCCATTAGCAGACAGATTCTTTACCCTTAAGCCACCTGGGAAGTCCACTGCAATGAATATTTGCATCTATTTGCATTATATTTTGAGGCATACAGTACTAATCATGATAGCCCTGATAGTGGTCCTAAGTAGGAAAACAGGCACAGTTAATTTTCCTTCAGGTTCTATTGTCCACTGGTACGTTGGCCAGATGTTCCCTGACTTAATGTTTAGAGCTGCCAGGAATCAGATTTTTTTTTTTCCACCTAGGACAGAGAGATCAGAAATTTCACTGTTCTCCAGAATATTCTTTTTTTTCCTCAGTGACCAAACTCAAAAGGGAGGTAATATCTAATTCAGAACTACCAAGACTACTATTTTCAGATCCACAGTTTTTTAATCAGGGAGCTTAAAGAGTGTGAAAAGACTTGTTTTGGGACATTTTGCTGCTGCAACTTCACTTTTTTCCTACCTTTATGTCAGCAGTTTCCCTACCCCACTCCCACCTCCCAGCAGTGCCTTCTGAATAAGCTAATCTGCTTTTATTGTGTGTGACTAGATTCATTAATTAAAATTTTAAACAAGGGTAAAAGAGAAAGCTCATATGTGTATGCCCCTTTCAGAAGAGTGCCATCCACCAGATCTTCATTCACACTTTGCAGAGACCTGTCCACAGTCCCGCTGGACCCGCAAACTGATCAGACCTTGTCCTTGCAAGGCAGTCAAGGTACACCCTGGCTCCGTCTCATGCTCAGTCACATGAAGACAGATTAATTGGAATCAGTAAACCAGAGGAGGTTAGGTGACTGGAAAATCTCATCAGAAGTGAAAGATACGAGGCCAAAAACGTAGGGAAATGTACTAAGAGAGCAGCAGTCTTTTCAGGGCTCTAATGACAGAAAAAGCAATTAAAAGGCAGACAGATTGCTCAGATATATAATTTATTCTTTGGTCTGTCATTTAATTAAAGGAAAAAAAGTAGGATGGCAACAAATTTGAAGTATTTTGTAGATAGGGATTTTTAAATGAGGATGAGAATTTTTTTTTAATTTTCATACATGTAATTTAAAATTTTTATTTTTCTCCAAATGTAAGCTAACACTCTTAAGCAACAGTCTTGGGAGCCAAAGAACGATTTGACTCTCCCAAAGGTCATGAATGGTACAGCATGAGATAGGCTTGTCACGAGTAAGGACTTTAAAAGACCTTTGTGTCCCTGTTCTTCACTCAGAGCCCCAACAGTCATAATTTTCCTAGTTTACTAATGATCATTATAAGCTGCACAAAGAAGCAAAAGCAAGGTGTGGTGAACTCTTGCCATGATGCCATCATAGCCATCAGTTAGAGTCTCTGCATTATTTTTATTTGTTTTTATTTCCTTAGGTACAAAATGCTAAATAGGAGGTGAGTTCTTCCACCTTCAGGTAATTTCCCCCCCACCCCTTTTATTCCACAAACAGGTTTTGTTTGTTGGTTTATTGTTTTTTTTCCCTTTTCACAGTAAATATCGTGAGCATTTAAAAGCAAAAAAGTCAAAAACAAAGAGGAGAGGATAGCGCTACGATATGTATGTATGTCAGACGATAAAGGATTACAGTCACACGTGCTGACTGCCGGGCAGCTCGGGATCTGCAGGAACCTCATCTGACAGCTGTCTGTGCCCGGGGCCCACTGTGGGCGGCGGTGGAGCCTCTGCCTTACCGCTGAGTTTGCTTTCCCCGTTTCATTCACTCTGCCAGGTTCCGAGAGGAGGATTATTTCCCACGTTGCACATATACTTTCTTAATGCCATTTTCTTTTTTAGTTCATAATTTTAACCACTGTATCCCAAATCCTCCAGAGCCAGGTTATCTGTACTTCGTTTCAGGTGTCAGTTGCCATATCATAAAACACCCAAATCTTAGCAGCTTGAAGCCACAACCATTTTATTATTTGTTCATGTTTCTCTGCATCAGAAGTTTGGGCAGGGCTCAGTGCGGATGGCTCCTCTCTGCTCTGTGGTGCCTGTGACCTCAGCTGGAATGGCTTAAAAGCTGAGAGCTGGCTGGGCCTCTCTCTTATAGTATCACCTGGAGTGATTCAAGCGGGGTATCAGAATCAAAGATGGGCTCACTCCCAATTTCAGAGCACTTAGGTTCTCCCCCTGGTGGCCTCATCACTCAGTAATTTAGTCTGACATTTGCAGGGCGGCTGGTTTCCAAGAGTGAAAGCAGGTGCTACAGACTCTAGAGACATAGGCTTGGAATTCTCAGAATGTCATTTCTGCATTCTATTAATCAATGCAAGTCACAAGCCAGACCAGTTCACCGGATGGGTACACAAACACTGCATCTTGATGAGAAAACGAGCATTTGCGCACTGACATAGAAGGCATACTTGGCAGCCAGCTTTGGAGACAATCTACTGCAGCTTTCCAAGAGGGAAACTGATATGCTAAGCACCACTCATGAGAGAACGCTAAGACGCCTCCATCTTCCACAGAGAAAAATCTAAAGGTATCTAATCCAAAGATGGACTCTCTTCATGAGTTTCTACTGCTGAGAGGAGGAGGTGCCATAAGCATTAGGGTAAAAGTAAAGGTGAAAAGAGCTGGGTAGATGTTGTAATAGAATCATTTTTAATATAAGCATTTCTTATCTAGTCAGCTCTTCTGAACTAGGCTTTAGATGATCAATAGTCTGCTTTTCAGCTATGGATCAGTACTCAGATTATTTTTAACTTTGTGTCAGTATTCTCTAAGTTACTTACTGGACTCCAGAACTAAGCAGAATTAGCATTTTTTGATGTCTTATCCCACCTGTTAAGGTAACTTTTCTCTATAGTAGGTTACATTTTACTAACAGTTTGTAATTACTTAAAATGCTTAAATGGCAGAGGGGAGTCTTGAGTCTTGTCTTCAGCAAGGATATTAGTCACTAGCCCTCTCAAAAATACTTCTTTGGATTAAAGGGTCAATTCAACAAGGAGATATAACATTTGTAAATGTTTATGCACATAATATAGGAGCACCTAAATGTACAAAGCAAATATTAACATACCTAAGGAGAGAAACAGACAGCAGTACGATAACAGTAGGGGATTTTAATGACCCATTTAGATCAATAGAAATCACTCAGGCAAAAAATCAAACAAGTGCCTTAAATGACAAATTAGACAAGATGGACTTAACAGAAATAAAGCATTCCATCCAACAGCAACACAAAATGCATTTTTTTTCCAGTGTGCATGGAACATTCTCTAGGATAGATCATGTTTTAGGCCACAAAACAGTCTTAACAAATTTAAGAAGACTGAAATCATATCAGCCATATTTTTTCACCATGGTGCTATGAAAGTAGAAATCAATGACAAGATTAAAATCAGAAAATTCACAAATATGTGGCAATTAAACAAGCTACCAAACAAATCAATAGGTCAACAGAGAAATCATAAAAACCTTGAGACAAGTGAAAATGGAAATAAAATGTACAAAAACCTATGGGATGAAGCAAAAGCAGTTCTAAGAAGAAAGGTTGTAGTGACAGGTGTATAATTCATGAAACAAGAAAATCTCAAATAAACAACCTAACTATATCTCAAGGAATTAAAAAGAAAAAACAAAGGTTAATAAAAAGAAGGAAATAACAAAGATCAGAGCAGAAACAAATGAGATAGAGTCTAAGAAGACAATAGAAAATACCAGTGAAACCAGGAGATGGCCTTTGGTTGACAAATCTTTAGTGAGACTTACCAAGAGAAAAAGAGAAAGGACTGAAAGAAATTAAAGCGGAGACATTACAACTGATGCCACAGAAATACAAACATTCATGAAACTACTGTGAACAACTGTATGCCAACAACCTGAACAACCTAGAAGAAATAGCTACATTCCTGGAAATGTACCATATTCTAAGACAGAATCATGAGGAATAGGAAGTCTGAACAGACCAATTGTTAGTAAGGAGACTGAATCAGTAAAACCTTCCAAAAAATGAAAGTTTCAAGTGGCTTCATTGGTGAATTCTAACCAACTTTCAAAGATGAATAAATACTATACCAAAATCATATTAGGACATCACAAGGAAAGAAAATTACAGGGCAATATCCCTGGTAACCATAGATGCAGAAATCCTCAACAAAATATTAGTAAACCAAATTCAACCATATATTAAAAGGATCATACATCATGATCAAGTGGGATTTATTCCAAGGCTGCAAGGATGGTTTAACATATTCAAAACAAGGTGATGCACCACAATAGCAAAATGAAAAATAAAAATTATATTATCATCTCAATAGATACAGAAAAATTATGTGACAAATTTCTAACATTCATTTATGATAAAAAACTCAACAACATGACTATGGAGGGAATTCACCTGAACATAATAGAGACCATATATAGAGTCCATAACTAACATCACACTCAGAGATGAAAAGCTGAAAACTTTTCCTTTAAGATTAGAAACAAGATGAGGATGCTCACTCTTGTCCCTTTTATTAAACACAGTATTAGAAGGCAAGAGAAAGAAAAGGCATCCAAATTAGAAAGAAGTAAAACTGTCACTATTTGCAAATGACATGACAGTATATGTTAAAAAAAAACAACCTAAAGACTTCCTAAAAAATTAATACAGTAAAGTTGCAAGATACAATATTAGTAAACTGAAATCTGTTCCATTTCTACACACTAATAACAAATTATCAGAAAGAGAAATTAAAAGTCCCATTTACAATTACATCAAAGAGAATAAAATTTCTAAAAATATATTTAACCAAGCAGGTGAAAGACTTATACACTGAAAATTATAAGACATTGATGAAAGAAATTTAAGACATAAATAAATGGAAAGATATACTGTGTTGATGGACTGAAAGAATTAATATTGCTAAAATGTCCGTACTAGCTAAAGCACCTACAGATTCAATGCAATCTCTGTTCAAATTCCAATGGCATTTTGCACAGAAATAGGACAAACAGTCCTAAAATTTATATGGAAGCATAAAAACCCTACATAGGCAAAGTAATATTGAGAAAGAAGAACAAAGCTATAAGTATCATGTATCCTGATAAAACTATAACATTGCATGATGACAAACACACAGCCCAGTAGAACAGCATAGAGATAGAAATAAATAGAAATAAACTTGTGCATATAGGGTCAGTTACATAACAGAGAAGCCAAGAATACACATTGGGGAAAGGACACTCTCTTCAACAAATGATACGTTGAAAACTGGACAACCATATGCCAAAGAATGAAACCAAGTGACTACTTACACTACAAACGAACACTTGAACGTAAGACCTGAAACCACAAGGCTCCTAGAAGAAAACACAGGTGGTAAGCTCCTTGACATTAGTCATGACAAACATGTTTTGGATTTGGCACCCGGGGAAAAATAAACAGGAGTGACTGTACATCAAACACTTCTACACAGCAAAGGGAACTATCAACAAAATGAAAAAGTACTGAATGGGACATTCATCTGATAAGTGGTTAATATCCAAAATACATAAAGAACTCACACAGCTTAAAATAAAAAAAAAGGACAGTAAATCTGAATATACATTTTTCTGAAGACTACATACAGATGGCCAACAGATGTCAAGAGGCTCAACATCACTCGTCATCAGGGAAATGCCAATCAAAACCATGAGATATCTCCTCACACCTCTCAGAAAGGCTATTATCCAAAAGACCTTAATAAGTGTTGGCAAGGATATGGAGAAAAAAGTTGTTGGGAACGTAAATTGATGGCGCCACTATGGCAAACAATATGGAAGGTCCTCAGAAAATTAAATAGAACTACCATTAAAATCCTGAAAGGAGGGAACTGGTGGGGAGGAGGGGCGGAGGTCGCAATATTGTTTCAAGTTGGATAAATTGACAAGAGAGGTACTCTACGTTCCATCCCGACCTCGACCTGAGGTCGCAGTGCTGGGCCCTGTTTCCCCTCCTCGCTCCCAAGAGCTGGGTGCCTTTTTCTGCAGGGTTCTCCAGGGCCGGGCTGACCCGACTTGCTAGGCTTCATGGAGAACTTCCAAAAAGTGGAAAAGATCAGAGAGGGCACGTACAGAGTTGTGTACAAAGCCAAAAGCAAGTTGACGGGAGAAGTGGTGGCGCTTAAAAAAATCCTCCTGGACACTGAGACAGAGGGTGTGTGTACCCAGTACTGCTCAAGGAGCTTCATCACCCCAATATTGTCCAACTGCTGGATGTCCTTCACACAGAAAACAAACTCTACCTGGTTTTTGAGTTTCTGCACCAGGATCTCAGTTCATGGACGCCTCTGTGCTCATTGGCATTCCTCTTCCCCTCATAAAGAGCTACTTGTTCCAGCTGCGCCAGGGCCTAGCTTTCTGCCACTCTTATCGGGTCCTGCACCAAACCTCCAACCTCAGAATCTGCTTATCAATGCAGATGGGTCCATCAAGCTAGCAGACTTGGGACTAGCCAGAGCTTTTGGGGTCCCTGTTCGTACTTACACTGATGAGGTGGTGACTGTGGTACTGAGCACTGGAAATCCTTCTGGGCTGCAAAGACTACTCCACAACCGTGGACATCTGCAGCCTCGGTTGCATCTTTGCTGAGATGGTGACCCGCCAGGCCCTGTTCCCCGGAGATTCTGAGATTGACCAACTCTACAGGATCTTTCGGACCCTGGAGAGCCCAGATGAGGTGGTTTGGCCAGGAGTTACTTCTATGCTGGATTATAAGCCAAGTTTCCCCAAGTGGGCCAGGCAAGATTTTAGCAGTGTGGTGCCAGATGAAGATGGATGGAGCTTGTTACCACAAATGCTGCACTATGACCCTAACAAGCGGATTTCAGCCAGGGCAGCTCTGGCTCACCCTTTCTTCCAGGATGTGACCAAGCCAGTGCCTCACCTTCGACTCTGATCACCTTCTCAAGCCTCTCCTCCAGCGCAAGAGTGATCTGGCTCGGCCCTGGGCTCTCAGCTCACCGATCTTGTCTGGCTGCCTTAGCACTCACCTGCCCCTCTTAACCAGTCCACTCTGGAGTGATGGAGTGGAGGGAATAGGTGAAATTGAAAGGACACTTCAGTATTAGATGCACTTAAATCAGCCTCCTATCACTTCATGGGAAATAGATGGGGAAACAGTGGAAACAGTGTCAAACCTTATTTTTTGGGGCTCCAAAATCACTGCAGATGGTGATTGCAGCCATGAAATTAAAAGACGCTTACTCCTTGGAAGGAAAGTTATGACCTACTTAGATAGCATATTAAAAAGCAGAGACATTTCTTTGCCAACAAAGGTCTGTCTAGTCAAGGCTATTGTTTTTCCAGTGGTCATGTATGGATGTGAGAGTTGGACTGTGAAGAAAGCTGAGTGCTGAAGAATTGATGCTTTTGAACTATGGTGTTGGAGAAGACTGTTGAGAGTCCCTTGGACTGCAAGGAGATCCAACCAGTCCATCCTAAAGGAGATGAGTCCTGGGTGTTCATTGGAAGGACTGATGCTGAAGCTGAAACTCCAATACTTTGGCCACCTCATGCGAAGAGCTGACTCATTGGAAAAGACCCTGATGCTGTGAGGGCTTGGGGGCAGGAGGAGAAGGGGACGACAGAGGATGAGATGGTTGGATGGCATCACTGACTCGATGGACATGAGTTTGAGTAAACTCCGGGAGTTGGTGATGGACAGGAAGGCCTGGTGTGCTGCAGTTCATGGAGTCACAAAGAGTTGGACACGACTGAGCAACTGAACTGAACTGAAGTCGGCCTTCACTAGCCTCTCTTCCTTCCTCTTAGTCATTAAAGAGGGCTGGGGTTTTGTTTTTTAAGACAAAATAAAAAGACTTTCTCCTCCGTCCACATAGGGTTTGCCATCCCAGTCTCTGAAAGCTCCACTATTATTATTCTCTGTATCTGGGATGATAGAGACCCCAAGCCTCCAGAGCCACTGTGTAAGGCCCACTGATAGCAGTGGGGGCTAATTTGGAACCTCTGAAAACCAAGCAAAACTAAAACGTTGTGGAGGGGCCTGTTTTAAAGAATTAGGTTTTTAAAAATAGATCCAACCAGTTTATACCCTAATTGTAGTGTTTCATCTCACTTAACATCTGGGAGACGTAAGACTCCCAGTCTCTGCAGTCCTGGTGGGGCTGCAGTATGTGTGATGGCTCCTAGGCGTCTTGCCTGTCCCTCCTATGGACAAGGTGTGTCTAGGAGGCTCTGGGACAGGGACTGTGCTTCACCCTTGACCTTATGAGGCAAGTGAAAGATGTTTGAATTTTTTTCTTCTTTTTAAGATTGTTAAGGTGCTAGGTCCCATCTTCCTCTGAAGGCCACCCCGTAAGAGTAAAAGTTAAGGTTGAGACATCATTTTGAGAATTCTGACACTCAGGGCAGTCACTGAGTGGGGACATTGGGGAAAAAATATTTCTTTAAGATAAGGATGAACAATTATATTTATATTTCAGGTTATAGTAGTTTTTTAAGTGGGAATGGGTGGGGATTGTTGCCATGTGCACCTTGGGGTTTGTAATGCAAATATGCTGTTCTTTTTTAAAAAACTTTTGTTCTTTTTATGATTTTCTCTCTCTTCTCCCACCTTCTGTCCTTGAGTGTTCTTGCTGTTCACATTATTTGTAATTTAGTTTGTAACTGATTAAAAAAAAGTTCCTAGTTTAAAAGAAAAAAAATCCTGAAAGATGATGCTATTAAAGTGCTGCACTCAATATGCCAGCAGATTCGGAAAACTCAGCAGTGGCCACAGGACTAGAAAAGGTCAGTTTTCATCCAATCCCAAAGAAAGGAAAAGCCAGGGAATGTTCAAACTGCTCCATAATTGTGCTGATCACAAGGAAAAAAAAGTTTGTAATCCTATATAGTAATAGATGGGCTTCCCTGGTAGCTCAGCTGGTAAAGAATCCGCCTGCAATGCAGGAGACCCTGGTTTGATTCCTGGGTCAGGAAGATCCCCTGGAGAAGGGCTAGGCTGCCCACTCCAGTATTCTTGGGCTCCCCTGGTGGCTCAGACGGTAAAGAATCCGCCTACAATGTGGGAGACCTGGCTTGGATCCCTGGGTTGGGAAGATCCCCTGGAGGAGGGTATGGCAACCCATTCCAGTGTTCTTGCCTGGAGAGTCCCATGGACAGAGGAGCCTGGCGGGCTACAGTCCACATCAAATCAGTAAGTTATACACCTGAAACTAATACAATGTTGCACGTCAGTCATATCTCAAGCTAAAAAAAAAAGAAAGAATTACCTGTTCGGAGTAGTTCTTGGGGAACAGTGTCCACGGTAGTTTTAGAGGCATCATGAAATGTATAGTCTTGACTGCCGATTTCCTGTGAAGACCTACAGTGTTGGCATCCATTCCCATCTGATTTTCTTTTGAGTCTATTCCCAGTCGACGATTCCCCATGAGGCCATGACCCTCTCACCTCATTCCATTACCTGATATGAAGGAACTTCTTAGTGAATTGAAAGAAGTGACACACAGAAGTTTTGCTAAAGGTATCCTATATACATATATATATATATAATATTTTATTTTAAAACGGCATTGAGCATATACATTTCTTTAGCTTTTTCCAGGGAACATTGCACCTAAGTTTCAAAACACACAAAATAGATCCCCTTTACTAAACAGGTTTCATTTTTGGGTTACAAAAGTCAAGGTTTCACAATCACAAAGCAGAAAGGTTACACGGTGCCGAAACCATTTTCAGGCAGATTCTTCTTATTTCTCTGTACGTAGGGTATTTTCTTGGAAACCCAGACCGTGAAACATTCCTTACAAATGATCTCCACTGGGGGCCTCCCTGGGTTTCCAGAAGAAACAAAGAGAATGGAGGCAAAGTAGGAATCAAAGAGTAACCTCAGGACTCCCCAAACACAAAATACTATGGAAAATTGGAGGACACGAGATTCTCCTTCAAGTACATCACAGTAGAAAACATCACATTTACAGCCTCATTTGGTCTCTGTCTACCTGGTCGCTACAGAAACAAAACTTCATCTAAGACGCCAAGGCAAAAATTAAAGCTATTTACACAAATCACATCGTGGGTTAGAAAGAGCAGCACTTCCCTGGTCTGGCACTCAGATCACAAAGGGCCACTGTGGTGCTTACAGAAGAGGCAAGTGGGGCTGCTCATGTAGTGTCCTTTGAAAAATCCCAGTGTACACACACAAGCCACATCACCCACACAGGACCGAAGTGTGCTGGGGCAGGGGCGGTCTAGGGAGTGCAGGCTGCGGCCTGTTTCTGCAGTTCAAAGTCCTCAAAAATCCAGATTCCTAAGTAAAATTCTGTCAGTTGGCCAGATACTCTTTCACTGTCATCTTAGATCTGCTACCTTCTAGAGTCAACCTGGTGGGTTTTTTGCATAGACAGTGACTCACTGCTTTTTTCCATGTGTCCCAGTAGCATGAACTTACCGAAAATAGAATCTCATTAAAGCTTAACATGTTCAGTCTGAAAACTGGAGCTGCCGGGTCACTTAAGGGAAGGTAAGATCCTCAGACGGTGGTGGAAAGAAAACCACTCACCTTTGAAATAAAGTTGATTGGCAGATGAGCGAGGAGGTTAGACCAGACTCATAAAGATGTGGGAGTTTTTTTTTTTTTCCCCCCGAGTGTTTCCACATTAGTGCTCTTGGTAAACTGAAAACCCTGCCGGAATGGCCAACATCTGAGGCCAGCTCTGGATCTGGGACTCTCATCTGTGTCCACCAGTATCTACTGACAGCTGTGATTCTTTCCAAGGAGTAAATGAACACTGAGAAGAATTGGAAAAAAAAAAAAAAAAGCACAGCTGACTTCATGCAGCCCCAAGTTACAGAGTAAACTGCTAGGGATTAAAAAAATTTAAAATACCCCCAATTCCCCAAAGCTGTAAACAGTGGAAAAGAACAAATCCCCACTTTGGGGGCTTTATCCCGTTAGAGGATTACTTGGCCTCTCCCAGTTTCCACTTCTCTGCTCCCTCCCTAAGAAGAGAGTTTAGGCAGGCACAGCCACAGGGGAACATGCCCTCCAGTCTTAAGGCTGCTCACACTGCTCTGATTTCAGGTGTAGGGAGAACACAGCTTTCGTTGTTGCCTGACAAAACACCAGTGTGGATGGAGTGTGAGCTGGTGGTCTTTAAGGAAGAGTGTCACCAAATGTTCAAAAGAGCAGAGGCCAGTCCAACAAGGGGATTCAGAACGGAGACAGCCTTTCATGAAAACAAGTGGCCACCTCACCCCCCAACCCCCCAGACAGCCGTAAAGACGACTGGGAAATCAAACGCTTTTCTTTTCGTTAAGCAAGACTTCCTCTGAGGCCACCAGGGCAAGCAAACAGGATTGATACACAAGATGGGCAAGATAAGAGAACCATGTATAAAAATGTTCTGCGGAATTTGGTGTTGCCTTTTGACCTTTCCAGGAATGCTCCAAGGGCCAACTGATGTGTAGACACAGTTAGTATTCAGGGATGGGATGATCCAGAGCCTGGGTGAAAAAAAATAAGGCTGAAATGGAGGAAGCTCAACTCACAGAGCACCCGTGCTGGGCAGACCTGCAACAGGCATTAACAAGTCATGTGTTCCCCGCATCTGGTTGATCTCTTGTGGTTTCCCTCCCATCCCCAAACAGACATATGCCGTCAGCTTGCTACCAAAATCCTTCCACCCAAGGGGAGCTTATAAAGAGAGTTCCTAGATACCTTTCTAACCAAATCCGATGGGACTAAATGCTCACGACTTTAGGATAAATTGAACAAGGAGGTTCCAGAGATTTTTGCCCAGACATGCCTTGGCAGGACACGAAATGGAGAGTGGAGTGGAACATTGTCATGACATCTGTATGACAATGCACATCCAAACTCTGACTCTAGTGCCTTGAATAAAATAGCAGCCCAGGAAATAAACGAAGGGCAATGGGAACATCGGGAAGAGGTGACAGCTTCCCAAAGAAGGTGGCTCAGAGTCCTCCATGGAAAACTTTCTCAAGTTTCTGAATCTGTACATGGTTTTCAGAGTCAGCGCAGCAACAGAAAGTGGCCCACTCTGCTGCGGGCTGCCTGCACATTTCCCGAGAGCAGCACATTGGGTACCACAGACTTCTCCCCATAGAGCTGTCCCTGGGGGTGTCTAAGGAAGGGGGATGGAAGCCATGAGATGAAGATGACTCCTGACAAAGGTGCAGTCGGTCCAGTTCTTCCCAGGCAAGGTTTTGGCAAACACTAGGTGGGTAAATTCCCACACTTCACCCACAAGACCAGGCATTGTTTCCAGGCTGCAGGATGAACACATTTCTAAGTAGGAAGGCTCCAGGCCATTCCTCAGAGAATATTTACATTCTAGGAATGTAAATGCAGGTGATTATCCCAGAGGAAAGTTATCTTTCCCTTTGGGGAAACTTTATCTTCTATTTTGGGGAAGGGATTGGAACACACAGGAAGTGGAACTGACTCTCCAGCCTTCTGGGGGAAATCACAGCAAGAAAAAAAATGACTTTTTTTCTTTAATGGTGGGGGTGGGGGGGAAGCATGTTTTTATCACAAAAAGTAGCCAAGATGGTGATGCTACCACAGGAGGTCTATGGTCTGCAGGAAGAAGACTTGGTGACTGGACCCTGCTCTACAAGGTCCTGCCATACCAAGAAGCCATAAGATAGAGAAGTGATTCCTAGAACTGTTTTGTGAGTCCTCCCCGCAGAGAAGCAGCAGGTAGATCTGATCCATCCAATGCTGCTCTTGTGAGGAACGCCTAGAGGTGGCGTGAGAGGGAGAGGTCTCGGTACCTGGGGGGCTGGGATGCTTCCATGGAGAAGGAACAGGGCACATAGCCTGACAAGGACCAGTCAACCTGATTCAAATGCACTTTTATTACATGGCCGTTCTGAGTGGGTCTTGCCCAAATCTGATGGTGACGCTAATAAGATTGCTGCTCTTGATCCTTAACACATTTGGCGTGGGCTTGGGGCCAGCCCCCACCCTCAGAACCTGGATCTAGGTGGAGGAGTGATCCTCGAGGTGTGGTGAGCTGATCGATACAAGGAACGTCTACACCACTCGATTCAACACTGCTTCGTGTGTATCCTTATGGCACAGCGGGTGGGGGGAGGGCCAACCAACCCAGAAACGAACACCCAGGCTCTCAGAGAGAAACTGGAAACCATACCAGGGGGACCTGTGAAGACGAGAGAGGAACCACTGGTCCAAAGAAACACTCACATTTTCATGAAAGCACATTGATTTGGTGAGAAAAACCAACTCAGGAACAAACTGTTACATAACAGAGATTGAACTGTGTGAGCCAGGCCACAGCTCCAGATGGCTGCCTGGGCGGCGTGGGCTACAGGATGTGGGGACGGTCCGAGCCAGACTTGGACACACGGCAGGGGCCTGGAAAGTCCCAGGTCTGTGCTATGGAAGGGAAACAATTAAGATTCAAGGAATATCAGAAAAACATCCCTGCCACACCCCACCATTACTGAAAAAGAATAGAGAGACAAAGACACACAGATAGTGTTCCCTGAAAGACATCTCAGGCTTACGAGAAGATGGGCGCGTCCATCTTCTGAGGCGTGATCCCCAGCACTCCAGCGCAGCACTATTAACCCGTAGAAAGGTTGGCAGCTGGGCGGGCTGAAGAGTCTTCTGCCAGTGACCACCCGTAAGTGGCTGCCCCAGCTACTGCAGATAAAATAAATATGACGTAGGTGCCCCCGAGATGGGCCATGGCCACCTAGGAGGCCTACGAAAGGAACCAAGAGAAACGCAACACTCAGTAGCAGCCTTTATGTTTTGCTCTTTCGTGTATCCAGACCTGTTTCTAAAGAGGAAACTGAAACCCAGGGCTCAGCCAGAGGCCTTTCAGCAGCAAGCTCCCCACCTGGGCTGGGAAGGGTGGCATCACGTGGAACTGTGCTGGGGCCCTGCCCAGAGGCGTCCCAGCGTTCATCCCTCCTGTCCTTCCAAAACCCTGGGCTGTTTTCACGACAGTTTGTTTCCATGTATTAAAGGAATGACGTATACAGAAATGTCGTCTCCTGAGCCCAGCCGGTCGTTGGATATCCGCCATCCTCTATCCTTCAGGACACCGCGGGCTCGCATCACCAGGTCCTGGGCTGCCAGCGTGTACCTGTGCAGGGAGAAGCATGATGACACGGTCAGTGTGACATCAGGCAGAACTGGCATTCGGGAGAGGCTGGGAAGGAGCCATGACTACAGACTGTGCAGACAAGTCTCCCTGGGTCGGGAAGATCCCCTGGAGGAAGGCGTGGCAGCCCATCCCAGTATTCTTGCTACAGAATCCCACGGACAGGGGAGCCTACTGGACTACAGTCCATAGGGTCACAAAGAGTCAGACATGACTGAAGTGACTTACACACGCACAGTGGTAAACAATCTGCCTGCAATGCAGAAGAGGTGGGCTTGATCCCCAGGCCAGGAAGATCCTTTGGATAAGGAAATGGCAACCCACTCCAATATTCTTGCCTGGGAGATCCTATGGCCTGGTGAGCTGCAGTTCGTGGGGTCACAAAAGAGCGGGGCATGGCTTAGTGACTAAACAGCAGCAAAGAGCCCAGGCCATCTTTCCCCAAACGCGGGGCACCTACTGTGAGATTGCTGACTAGGCGGTAGGTGGACACACAATAAATAACCTACACTGTTCTGCCGCCCGGTTCTCGTGAGGATTTTGATGTCAGTCCCGGTTTAGAGCTGGTGTACCTTTAACACTTATCTGCTCAGGCTCAGAGCTCTCTGTGGCCATCTCCAGCTACAGAAGCACATGGGAAAAACAGGTTTTGTTTCCAGTGTGTTTATTTTTAGAGCCACATTGCTTTTAGGCCAAAGGATGGTCATTTTCCATTTCTGGTAGGGCCAATCTCCTTTTTAATTTGTTTTTAAAAAGCAAGTTGATTTAAAGAAAAATAACGCTAGCACAAGTAAGAAGGACCCTAGCAAAAGTGGGAAGGTTTTATTGGTACCTGATAGAGAAACCTTGGTGTGGGCCATCTGTCTCATCCACCTTCATCAGTATGCCATAGTCTTCAGTTCACCATTAAGTTCAGCGCGGGATCCCCAAGAATTTGAAAATAAGATTGCTCACTGAGATTTAACCATAAACTAAAAGAAGAATAATGCCTACGATAAATGGATGAAAAGTATTAAAATCTAGAGAAAGACTGATGTGGGAGGTGATTTGGGTGTATGTAGCCTGGATTAGCCTTAAGGCCTAAAACAAAGAGGAAAAAAACATTGGCAGGTGTCTGTCCAAATACCGAATGAGGTAGAGAGTCTTAGCCAACAGACTGCAAAGAAATTTAGTTCCATTGGTAGGGCCACATTTAGTGAGGATGTGCCCAAAGAGCGTCTGCCGTAGAGCACAGAGTTCACCTTTACTCTGATTTCATGTTCACTGTATAACCTTCTAACTACGATCTGCCTCCCTGTGCAGGCACGGTGACAGAAGAAGAATAAGCCTGACATTTGTACTTGAAGAACATCAGTCCTGTTTCTCCATTTAAACATACCTGGCATTTCGGAAGTTTGCAGATCAGTCATGAAAGCTTGGTTGAGGTGAGCACAGCCCTGATAATGAATCTGTTCTTTGTATGTTGATTAAACCAGTTTCTAAACTTGAGAAACTAAAAGCCAGACTCGGGTACATCACCAAGATGATAAACGTCCCTTTGTAAGGAAGGCCTCTTGGAAGCCAGCCTGCGGACCTTGAGTAGCAGGCCACCCTCATGTTACTATTGCCTTTCCCTGCTGAAATGTCACTCAGCCTGGCCTTCAGAACAGTGAGTTATAGAATTCGGAACACCAGAAGCCTCCTGTATTTGTTCTGTTAAAAGCCCTTATACGTTAACCTGACTCATGTTAGAAAAGACCAGCATCTAGTCCCATCATTACGTTACTTAAGAACAAAGCTTGTAGCAGATGATCTCAGGATAGTTAAGATTCCAGGCTACAGAACCTTTGAGACTCATTTACTCAGCCCAGGTAGTGGAGAGAAGTGTGGCACATACTACACGTGGCAGAGAGAGGCTATTTTTTAAAAAATATTAATACAAAATAAATGACTTTCCTCCTAGAGAATGGGTGGTAGGTGAGTGGGAGATATGCCCTCTTCTACTCATATTGTTAGAATGATTAATTTTGAGGTAGAAGACTCTTAAGTTATGCCTGAGGGCAGATGCCACCAGTAGGCCCTCTCTGGGGGTCCTCTTCCTGCTGAGATCAGAAAGTAAACAGAAAGGACTCCAACGAGGCCTTTGGCTAAAGAGCCTAATAAATGTCCCCCTGTCCACATACTGCCACTCATACCCTGTGTTCAGAGGCGCTCTCAGATGCTCACCCCAGGTTATTCTTGGTTTTATATTAAATTGTATGTCTGAATACAACCTCATAGGGAAAGGCTACCAGCAATATCAGGTGATGTTTATTATCCTGGTGATGGCCCAGGGTCTAGACCTTAGCCTTTCAAGTTTAGAAAGTTGGCCACCATCAAAAAGTCTACAAATAATAAATGCTGGAGAGGGTGTGGAAAAAGGGGAATCCTACGTTGTGCTTGTGGGAAAGCAAACTGGTGTAGCCACTATGGAGAACAGTTCCTCAAAAAAATAAGAGGGCTACCATATGATCCAGCAATCCCACTCCTGGGCATATATGCAGAGAGGAAAACTCTAGTTTGAAAAAACACATGCATCCCAATGATCATAGCAGCACTCCTTACAATAGCCCAGGCATGGAAATAACCCAAGTGCCCATCAACAGATGAATGGATAAAGATGATGTATATATATTGATATATACAATAGACTACCACAGCAAAGAGTAAAATATTGCCTTTGTGGCAACATGGATGAACGTAGGGAACAGCATTCTAAGTGAAGTCAGAGAAAGAAAAATATTAAATGACTTACATGTAGAATCTAAAATTATAAGTGAATCTATCTATAAAACAGACTCACAGACGTAGAAAACAAACTTACTAAAGGGAAAAGGGGTGAGGGGGTAAATCAGAAGTATCAGATTAACAGATACGCACTACTTTGTATAAAATAGATAAACAAGGAACTATATATATTAATATCTTAGAACAACCTATAATGGAATAGGGTCTGAAAAAATACATATGTATTTAAGACATATATGTATATATAAAGGAATCTAAGAAAGTAGATATATGTATAACTGAATCACTTTGCTGCAAACCTAAAACTAAAACTAATGCAATGTTGTAAGTCATCTATACTTGAATAAAAAGCTAAAATCAAAACAGTGCCCACTTTGTTTCATTTAAGCCACATAAGAGTACCATCTATAGTTAAAGGCAAGAGACTATCCTGATGTTGCTATTGCTGGAGATTTGGGGTATTGGAAAAAGTGTCAAAATTAGCTTTTGGTATTTTAAAAAGCAGCATTAGGTCACCTAGAAAAGATGGTTACCCAGGAACCCGGGGTAAAGGGTTCTAGAAAATTAAAGTTTTATTAGAGACTTTATTTATTAAAGACTCTAGAAAGTTAAAGTTTTATTCTTCAAGCTGCTTACTGCCCATGCTAAGAAAACTTCCTTTGAGCCTGCATTTCTCTTTATTATTCATTGTCTTCCCTTAGGTGAAGTCTTGGTAGAGAAATCCATTTTTGCGTCCTCAATTTCTTCCCCTTTTCTTCCTTCATCTCTTACCAGTATGTCCAATACCCTCCCAATCTGGCCTCCTAAAATTCTCCTCCAAACTCATTCCACTTGACCTTTCTTCAGCACAGATACTACACTTGTGACCATCTTCTTTGTCCTTCACACCTCATGCCTTTTCTTCTTGATTCTTTTTTTCTGGGGTTGGGGTGAGGGTAGGCTGGCAGGGGGCTCCTACACCACCGCATACTCCCAAGTTCTCCTGTTATGTCTGGGCTTCCATGACACGTGGCACAGCCCTTGGTAGATCCCAGAAGAGACTCTTCAGGAGGAGTCAGTAAATGTTAACTCAGGTTCACTGCCAAGGTGGCACATCCCCATCTGCCATCCTCAGTTGTAATGCTGTCCCCAGTCTCTTAGGCAAGAAATCATACTCATTTCCTGTGCTATCTTCTTACCCTGATACTCATCAATGAGAAAATCCACAAGGCACTGTAGGACTTCTAAATTTTGTATTATTTTAGTTGTACTTCACTATTGGTAGATCGCTAATTAAAACCTCACCTTTACTAAGATCAAATTAAGCCTACTTATTATAAGAACTGCTATTTTAAATTTATTTTTGCCATCATTCATTCACACATACAGAAATTTGCATCACCCGCTGAACCACCAGGAAGCCTGGTAATATCTTTAAATTCACTAATTCAGGGAGGGGGGATCGGGATGGGGAACACATGTAAATCCATGGCTGATTCATGTCAATGTATGGCAAAAACCACTACAATATTGTCAAGTAATTAGTCTCCAACTAATAAAAATAAATGAAAAAAAATTCATTAATTCATACTTTAGCAGCTTACTATTCAGTCTACTCACTGAGTTCCTTTATTTCAATCACCTGTTTTTCACCATTACAAATTTCCATTTGGTTCTTTTCCAAATCCACCTCTTCTTTACCTTATGGTTCTGTTTGTAAACGTTTAAAGTTTCTCTCCACCTGCTCTATTAGGGTTTCTCTGGGGGTGGGGGGTGGGATAGAGGGAAGGCTCTGTTATCCTTTCTCACGCGACGTGTAAAGGTAAGATAGAGGCTTCTCTTCAGTAGGGTTGTCTACTGCATGCCCTAGGTGATCTCCAGTGATTTTAAAACGTGCTTTACTGGGGCACACTATGGGTTCCTCCAGTTCTAGAACACATTTTAGTTCTAGAACACATTTTAGGTGAGTTTCTTGGCTTAGGATCCCCAGGCCCCAGGAGAGGTGTGAGACTTAATCTCACTCTTTCTCCGTGTAGAAGGCCTGCTCAGCACCTCCCCACAGAACCTCAGTTTCATCAGGTTCTTGCCGCCATCCACGTGCCGCAGGAAGGCTGTTTTTCCATTTGAGCGGGAAGCTTAGGGAGAACACCTCGGACTATTTATTCCAACACTGTGGCCAGGAGCCCAGCGTCCTCCACCCAACTTCTCTTTGCCAGGCCTCCCTAGTGAATGCAGCA